AAAATGAAAATAAAAAAGTTGAGAGGTATCAAGCCAAGTTAGTTCACGACGTTTTGATTGTTAGTATTCACAGTCGTCTTCGGGTGATGACTGCGAACGGTGGCGAATCGACATTTCACGGGCATCACGAACACTGGCGTATACAACCGCAATATTTTCTTCGGTTCTCACTCTACGTATGCGTGTAGGTGGTTTAATGTCCAATAATGTAAACTAGGTTCGAAACTTAGTCACAATCTTCCGAATGGATCCATCAGTAGGCCGACGAACCTGCCCATATATTGGAAGAAGTGCACGATGCACTTTCTTCACCGAGCATGAATTTTGATAATAAAATTCAATAATTTGCAAGCGTTGTTCATTCGTAAGTTGATTCATGGTTAAATCATAGACCAAACTCAACAAGTTTGACAATGATACAAGACACGATTCACGCGTGATCTGTCAAAAACAGTGTTTCCAAAAAGATACCAGCAAAAAATCACTCATCATTAGTATAGATTTGCCACGATATTGTAACAATAAGGTTCTGTTCTATTCAGTTTTCGTTTCATTTTTGTTTTCTGAGAAATAAACTAAGATGGTGACGTCAGGTTATCACATAACTTCAGTTCAAATTATAATATAGTCCATTCTTGAGATTCACCACATGAAAAAATCTCCAGTTCAAATTTAGATTCAACTCTATATAGAACTTGTTTTTGTGTGAACTTCAATTGTGAGCATCCATGTAGGATACTCCTGAGTGGGTGAAATCCATGACATCTTCCTTTACGAAGACGTAATCAAGGGGATCAACAGAGGACTCCATTCACAAATAATGAAGATTAACGAGGCTTACCAAAGCGGTCTCTTATCCGAACGAAATTCGTCCTCTGGTTCATAACAGAACATTTGATTGTCTCATCCAGGAAACCATCAGGAAAAAATTTGCCAAATGTACAGTATTGACAATAGCTCACAGGTTGCACACCATCATGGATTCGGATAAGGTGCTAGTGATGGACGCAGGACGGAAAGCAGAGTTTGACCATCCCCATCTTCTGCTGCAAAACGAAGCAGGTGTATTTCATTCGTTGGTGATGCAAACTGGGAAAGCTACCGCCAAAAATTTGATGACCATAGCGGAAGAAACTTACGAAGCAACACACAGTCAGTGTAGTCGAGAGTAGCTGAAGAAAAATTGTGGTCAAGATGGGAAGAGGTGTCTTACTGATTGTGGAAAAAATTTGTGTAAGTTTTGGTGAGTTTTTTACTGCTTTGCAGATCTTCTTTCTCAATATTTATGAAGACGAAATATATGTAATATAGCACAAGAGTAACATGGCCTATACAAACTTCAGTAACCTTATGTACCCTTGTTTCTTTCGAACGATTTACTGCTGTTCAGTTTTATGTGAAGGAAGGGCCATGGAGGTGAGTTCATCAATGAAGTACCCAGTCAAAATCGTATCGTGAAAATCAGTTTGTTGGTCGTCGTCTGCAGGTTTGTCAGCCTAACGTTTAGTCCATGATTGCGGTGGACATCATCAAAGGCGATAAAGTAACGGACGCGGTATTATCGTTGTCCTCTCTGCATGTATTACTTTTCCAGTGTCTGTTTATGGTTTAATTCAATTGGTGGTGGGCATGGTGTCATCCCCAAAACCTTTGTTGAATGATCTAAGTTGTGCGCAGTTCAGGGCAGGCAGCCGGATTTCATACCGTCTCCTTTCCGACTAAAAATTTCTTCTTGTTTATGAATCTTCATTGCCTACCTGTGTAATCTTGGATGATAGTTTCGGATCTCAACCAGCACCTGTGTGTCACTGAACGAGATACCATGTGTGCCTTCTTTGAGTGCATGTTGGGCTACAGCTAATTTATCGGTCTACCAGAAAAAACAATTTCTTTTGCGTTCGGAGAGATATCTCTATGATAGTTTTTGTTGACTTGAACATTGCGTTTTGTTTCTCCAAAGTTCTTCCAATCTGGCCCGTAACATTTCCAATGAACTGAACACTTTTGAATGATACTAATGAAAATAATAAGAACTAACGGTTAAAAACTTCGTGTTCAAGTACACAATATGGCACTGGAATTCATCACCTTGTTACTGCTGAAACTGTTGATGGTTATGTCAAAATTACTCTGATATGATACAGTGACTGTCAGCTCAGCTTAATTATCAGATATTCATAATTTTGCCCTGTTGATTCGAGTTCTTTTTTCGTTTATTTTCTGATGATCTATTTCTCCTATCTATGATTTATACACTTCAAGAGCGTATGAACATGGGTTTGTATTACGTACAAGGAAAAACCACTCGTATTTTTCACGAAAATCAAATATAAACGAGACTTTTCGACCTTCTGGCACAATAGTGGACGGAGAACGTTCCCACTATGTTTGTTGTTGGGTAGGTTTTTCAGGAGTAAGGGAAGCACATGGTCTAGCCTCCTCGACTCTCTCAGTGTCCACCGTGCCGATGTAGGAGCAAGATGTACATCCGTCAATTGCGCAACGTGTTGTAATCAACTTCCTCGCAGCAGAAGGCGTAAAACCTGCCGAAATCTTGAAGAGATTGACTGTCCAGTTCGAGTAAGAGACACTGTCGTGAACCAGAGTGTTTGCATGGCATAAACAGTTCGTGGAGGGTCGTGATCGTATTGAAAATGAGAAAATAACCGCAGACCTCGCACCACCATTACAGCGAACAACATCAGCAATGTTCGACAGCTTATTGAAGATGACAGACGTCGTACCACTTCTGAAATTGCAAGTGAGGTCGGGATAAGTTATGGGAGCACTCACTCCACACTCACAGAGGAGCTAGGGTACCGTAAGATGTGCAGCAGGTGGGTTCCTCACCTTCTCACAGCTGATCAGAAATCGCATCGTCTGCAGGTGTGTGGGCGTCTCCTTGCACGATTTCAGGAACAAGGAGACCAATTTCTCACTCACATTATCACCTGTGATGAAACATGAGTGCACCACTACACCCCAGAGTCTAAAACAAGCGAGAACCTGGACCAGTGGAAGCCAAGGTTTTGGGTCCCGTATTTTTGACCAGCGTAGATTGCTGTATCTCGATTTTTGGCACGAGCGCAGAACAATTAATGCGGCCTACTAGTGCGACGTTTTGAATGAGGTCCGACTTGCATATCACCGCAAAAGACGAGACCTATCGATCAGGAAATTGGTTCTTCTCTATGACAATGCTCGCCCCCATACAGCAGCCTTGACTAGGGAAAAATTGGAGCAACTAGGGTGGGAAACATTGCAACATCCTCCTTACAGTCCAGACCTGTCACCCTGTGACTTCCATGTGTTTGGCCCTCTCAAACAAGCTTGGGGAGGCCAAAGATTCGATAGTGATGCTGAGGTTGAAGCCTACGTGCGCAATTGGCTGCAGACACGACCTTCATCTTTCTACCTGAAAGGAATTGGAAAGCTGCCTATCCGCTGGGAGAAATGTGTTTCTAAATCAGGAGATTATGTAGAAAAATAAACTATATTTTTTGGCGTTTAAAATCAAAATGAATTACCAAAAAAAAAGTCTCGTTTATATTTGATTCACCTAGTATCAATGAAGACCGAACCGCTGTTACAAGGGAACCGTCATACTTCTGATGTTGCTGAAAACTCTCTGAGGTTCTTGACCAATCTTAGACGCTCTATGATAGATTTTGTTGGCTTAATCATTGATTTCATGTGTTTTTTCTCGAAAATTTACCTAATCTAGTCCGTAACATTTTTAATGAACTGACCACTATCGAAGGATACTAATGAAAATAATGAGAACTAACATTGAAACATTTCCTGTTCAAGTACAATTTATCGCAATGGAATTCATCACCTAGTTACTGCTGAAGCTGGTGATGGTTATATCAAAATTATTCTGATACGATATAGAGACTGTTACCTCAGCTTCATTATTAGATATTTGTAATTTTGCCCTGTTGAATCGAGTTATTTCTCCTTATCTTTCCATTTCATGGAAAAACTGCTCGTGTTTGTCACGAGAATCAACCAGGCAGAAATATAGAAAATGACTTTTTACTAATAATCAATAACGGAGGCGTTAATGTTGCAGTTTTAGGCCACGTTGTCTTGATGGAAAGTTGACATTTTTTGAATGAGTCCCAAGCACCAGGAGTAAGTCGTACAAACGTTTTCAGAATTATTTTTCGATACAAATTCTACCTTCACTAATGAAAATCATCCATGATTTGAATTGAATTTTGTGAGACTCTCTCTCGAAAAGCGTCAACTGTGATCAAGCTTTGTTATACATCACAGGTTTCTCGAAAGAGTGTACCCTTAATATGATTGAGCAAGTAAATCGTTGACATTTTTGATAAAAAAACTGGATATTTGGGCAGACAATCGTGGAACCATATTAGAGGACCATTCTTTTTGAAAACAAACATGAATGGTGCTATTTTAATTAGCTACATAATCAAGTTATACCAAGCATCCAGTTAGATCGTTGGTATATTACGAAATTAAGCAGTTCCTCAACGAGATGTGTTACCTTTTCATTGCCAGAACCAGCGTGACAGTTCCTCGATAATAACGTTCCGTGTCGGTGGATTGAAAGAAGAGGTTTCGCAGAATGGCCACCTAGATTTTCAGATTTGTTTTCACTGAACTTTTTTGTACGAGGTTAATTGAAACCAAAAGTTGACATATATGAGTAAATTATACTCATTTCGAATATTTAATATATTGATTTTCTATTGAGGTTCACTTTCTGTTTCGGAATTGAATACAAAATCATTAGAGTAATTTTATTTTTCTGATATGGCTTGAAGGGAAAGGAATGAATGACAGATGGTTGATTTTTGCATAGAAATGTAATGCTCTAAAACTAAAGTTGACGTGTTTCACGATATTTTTTGAGTCACAATATCAAATGACTCATTCTGGGTGGCTATTTGTACTTGAAATGCACTGTATTTTCATGTTAATTGCTGTTGTTAATTGTATGAAATGAATTCCACTGGATTATTGGAGCATTATGTTGGTTAAATATTGGCTACTAATACAACTCAGGAATGATCAATTGAAATATGCGAATGCCATTTTTTTAACAAATTTCGAATGAAATTTATTTAATAATTAGTAAACCATTCACATTTATTTTTCAGTTTCAGTTCGTCCGCTTTGTCCAATAGAGGTTACATCATATTTTCAGCAGGAAGTCAACTGTCGAAGATGAGTCATAAAAATTAAAATAGAAATAATCTATATCATATAAGCTACCATTCTGTACATACTTGTTCAATAGACAACTACACAGTGTAAAGCAATAGTTTCATTACCAATTCATTTTCCCAAAATGATATTGCCTCAATGCAAAAAAAATGGTTTTTTCCTATAGTAAAAAATGTACAAAAAAAGCTTAGAATTTATACGGATTTTTTTTTTGAAGTTCCGGAGGCAAAGTCATTGAATACGACAAGTTACTGATGAATAGTAATAGTGCCGAATTTATTGGAACTATTCGTTCCCCAGCCTCAGGCTCATACAAGCTAATAAGCCTGATGTAGTCCTTCTCGACCACCAGAGCAAAACGATATTTGTCGTGGAGTTTTCAGCTCCTGGCGAGACAAATATCGTTAGAAAAGAGGAGGAAAAACGGACAAAATATCGAGATTTTCTCTCTTTGACTATTACCGATTTGGACGTGTTTAGAATTAACTTATTTCTCTGACACCAGGATGAAAATTGATTTACAACCATTTCCAGTTTAACTGCAAGCTGTTCTGCATCCTGATCGGATATTGTTATCGTTGTGTCGTCGGCAAACATGGTAACATGAACGTTTTCTAAATATTGTGGAAGATCATTTACATAAAGAAGAAACAGCAGTGGCCCAAGAACTGAACCCTGTGGTACCCCAAGTTTCACAGCCTGACTGTGTGAAATTGAATTATTGCATCTCACTATCATGGTTCTATCTGTCATATATGATTGTATCCACTTTATTATACTGGCTGGAAGTCCTAGAGGCGCCAATTTATCTATTAAAGTTTCAATACACACTGTATCAAAGGCTTTTGACAAGTCGAAAAATAATGATAGGACATATTTGTTGCTGTCAATCTCTTTATATATATAATTAAGCAAGTGACACGAGGCTGTTTCAATCGACCTGTTTTGCCTGAAACCATGCTGAGAAGTACTTACTAATTTATTCTTTTCTAAGTGATAAATCACTCTTGTAGACACTATTTTTTCAAACAATTTCGATAAAGAACTGAGAAGAGAAATTTGCCTGTAGTTGTCAACTACTTTTAGGTCACCTTTTTTGTGCAGAGGAATTACCAATGCTTTTTTAAATTCATCTGGAAAGAACCCTTGTATAAGTGATTGATTCATTAGGTATATAAATGGTTTTAGTATTAAGTCAATAATATTTTTTATAACTATAATCGATAATTCATCATAGCCTGAAGATGTCTTATTTTTCATTCTATTAAGACAATCCACTACTTCATATTCTGTGATAGGGTAAGATGGGTATGGATAATTGATGGTGACATTTTCTACTCTAGTACAGGGAAGAGACATATTCTGACCAAAATGATTTAACATTGCGGAATCTGATGCATTAGCGAAATGCTCAGCAAAAGTTAATGCAACTTTGTGTGGGTCAGAGATAACGGTATCCTTCTGCTGAAGAATGATTTTTTCTTTTCCATCTTTCTTTTTTATACCTAATTCATTATTAATAATTTTCCAGGTCAAGTCTAGTAAAAAGAAACATACAAGGTAAATTCAACAATATCACATTCAGAGCTTTGGATTACAAAGACTCGCCGCTAAAAATATATGAAAACATATAAAAATGTAAAATATAAGAGAAATTTGAATTGAAGGGGTTATATTTTTTTTAGGAGTGATTAATTTGTGGGAAAGGAAGATTTTGGCTTTGTACTACTCCATCTTGATAAGAGAAATATTAATGACAATATTCTTATGAGATATCTTCTGAAAATAATTCATCTGTTGAATAAAAACATCTTGTAACAAGTGATTTTTTGAGTTGCTTTTTGAAAGTCAATAACGAAGAAAAGTTTTTCAATTCATTTGGTGATTTATTAAATACACCTAAGCTATCATTAGCAGGAGAGCTGAAATGTACTATTTTTTTTTTTAATTGGTACATGGAAGTGATTTCGAGAACGAGTATTTATTTGATGTATATCAGAATTCTTCAAAAATCTATATCTATTTTTGAAAATATAGATACACAATTCAAAAATATATAACGATGGCAGTGTTAGGCTTTCGTATTTGCTGAAAAAACTTTTACAGCTCTCGGTACTAGGCACATTCATGATACACCTGATAACCTTTTTTGTACAATGAAAACTTCCTGAGACGTGGTTAACCATTCCCAGAAACAAATACCATAGCGCATACGACTCTCCTCTTGCCCGTAATATACTATCAGCAATTAAGAATGTACCGTTATCAAATTTTTCAGAAGATAACAATGCGAATGAAGCGCTAATATCAGATTCGAACAAAGTACTTTCCAGTCGGGATATTTTCTTGTTTGTGGAATGTTGTTTGTTACATCATATGGCACTTGTTTAAAAAATGGTTGAACAGATTTTTCCACTGTTTCGGCATTGTCTATAGGCTCCCACCGTCAACGGAAAGAGAAATATTATTCGAAGAATAACCTTTTTTGGTTAACTACTTCACTATGGTCAAACATGTTTTATTCAAGGTGTCGGCGTTAGATGTTCTATTGTGATAAAACAACGTTTTCTTATTTCTACAAGACGGCGATGTTTGTATTTTGCTGATTTGTAAATGACATTCAATTCAGAAAATTGTTTCAATATCCTGTATAAATCCTTCAAATTAGAGCTTGAAATGAAAACATTCGAAAATGATTGATAAAAACTCTATTTCTTCCACTAAAAACTGTTTTCATTTGATTTCTTACTGTTGAGGATTTTCTCAATCACAACACGGAGTAAAATAACACTATTTTTCCAAGAAAGTTATTGTGGTCTTGACCAGGAGTTGGAAGCAATAAGTGAACATTTTTGAAGTGATAACTATCACAAATATTTTTGAAAAACTCTTCTTTTCGAATAATTATCATTCCAACAGGCAAATAGGGAGGTTATTGTATCATAGACCACAGAACAACATCGTAACAATTTGAAAATCTTTGAAGATGAAATCTCTAAGACATCAATGACATTTAACCAATAGCAGAAAAAGAGGAATACTACTTCATGTCTGCTTAAGCCAACAGCTGCCAATCATCATCACCCAAAAAAGTAATGAAATGTAGAAATAGTTACAGGTTTTTAATGTTTGATTTATAGGAAAGTTCATATTCAAAAATATGTAAAACAAACATGACTATCATGAATAACCAAAGTATTTTGGGAAAATTTCAGATTTCTATGTAGTAACAGCAGGAAAAAATTAATTTCATTGATTTTATTCATATGGCCATCTCGAGAAGGTGATTATTTCTTCGCAGCATCGTGTTTTTTATTGGTCAAGATTGTATTACTATGTTAAAATTCAAACACTGATCTGTTTTGTTTGGAATCACTCTTATGAGCTGTCTTTTGAAAGTCTAGATGTTTGAGCCATGAGGGTCAGAGAATTGAATAAACTTCTTCAGATTGACACATCATTGGAGTTTCATTACATGAGAATATAGAATAGAAAGCATATTAGTTCAGAAAGATTCATGAATTATCTGTTCTCTCATGAAGAGCCCATCCTGTACAATCGGCGATAAGAACTTTTGCGTCATATTATTTTATTTGACTTCAACTCATAAAGACTAAAAATCCTCAAAAATCAATTATGATGCGATAAATAAAGATAAATTTCAGATTACTGATAATGATATCAATGGAATATTATTCATTATGTAAGACGAATCCGACAGTCAGTCATTCTGAGTTTGGTGATTGCGATATTAGTATTTAATATGTGACTTTGGATTGACTGTCGATAAAATGTAAGTATCACAAAATTGCTATTTTGAATCCATTGAAACATTCGAAGAATTTTTCAAGTGTACATGTATAATGGAGTGTTGAAAATCATAGCTCAAACACAACGTATTTACGATTCAACACCAGAAAGCGCTGTTTCGACCCACCATACATCTTATCAGTAGTGCTAGGCTGAACCACAAATGCATTGCTGTGCTCGGCTGTCCTCAAAGGATAAGTCTGAGTAAATAAGGACGATGAAATATCTTCTAATGAAAGTGCCATCTATGGGATCGATAGAGGACTCAATTGTCCTCACATGTCGACGATATTTATCTGATAACTGGGATAGTTCTTTGAGGACAGTTCAGTCCAGCAATGCATATTTTTCCAGAAAATAAGTTGGAAACATTTGATTATGTATACAGGGTGTTCCTTAATGATAATCTTAATGTTCCTTAATGAATATTCAAGAGTGTAAATTTACAAGAAAAACTATTGATGGTTGTTATATAAACTGTGGTCCAAAAATATTTCATTACGGAATTACGAGGTGTTGAATTTTCAAGAAGAAAAATTGAAATGATTCAATATTTCCGAAACCATTTGAGATATTTCAGTGATATTTGGTGAGAAGTGACAGTTGATGAAATTTTATAGTTGACAATAAAAATATAATTTTCATTGTCAACGATCTCGTGGATACAAGAATTGAATTGGATATCTTTGAAGAAAAAAATGATATGCCTATCGATTTTTCCCAAATAAAATTCATTTGTTAACTCCTCGTTCAAATTGAGTAATAAAGTCCACCAAAGGTTTTTCCTATTATACGTAATTTTCTGAGTGGAAAAAATCCTTGTATGGTACGTGAAATTATTCACGTACCATACATGTTATTGTATCTGAATGTGACTCTGAGTCTAACCCGTGCAGAATTACCATTTTTGTATTTTGACATCTCCGAGCAGTAGGAATTCATTTGAACGGTGGAAAACAACATTTAAGCCAAGTTCAGAGTTGAATTGGGTTCAATTGAACCTATATATTGAACTCTATATGGAATAAAATGCGCAACAGCAGTATTTTAACATTTTAGTGAAGTTTAGCCGAAGCTACTATTATTCATAACCTGATTGCCAAAAAAATATCTAGAAATTTTCTTAAAATACTGCATGATAATGAAATGTAATAGACGTCCGATGACGGGTAAGAAATGGTCAAATTTATGGATTTCTGATGTGACACGACAGCAAGATTTTCCGATAGACAAATAGAAGGAATATCCATTGTTGAATTTCAGTAGGAAGATTGAAGCATT